GCTTTCCTGGAATAAAATAACAAGCCACATGCCTGTGCCATGAACCTCCAGTCTCCTCCACAGAAAGATAGGAGATAGGCAAGCCCCAAACTGGTCACTTTTCTCTCTGGAGCCAAAAAAGAGGCTAGGCTCACTGATAGGTTATTGAGTGGCACGTGTGAGAAGCTTCCTGGCATAAGGGAGAATGGGGCACTCTATTCAAATGGATTCTGAGGCAAGGCCCCTAACCTGCGATGTCATTTCCCTTTGTCTTTCCACAGGGCCCACATCATGCTGCTGTGTTACCCTTCTGAGGGAATTCCTGCCAAGTGGCTCTATACACTATGGCATGTGCTCAATAAGGTTGTCGAAGAGACACCAGAAGGGAAAATCAACTGCACATGTGAATTGAGCTCCAACATGTCCAATGATGACATTCAGCAAGTGAAATAAATTCAGTGGCCTAAGACAGTTAGGGAGGTTGGTTTACGGTGAGGTGTTCACAGGGTGGGACTTGGTGGGGAGTGCAGTGGCAGGCAGACAGATGAATTTTCTTTTCCTTAACAATATGGTTCATTTGAATGGATTTATATTCTTCCTTTTCTCAAATCTCGATCTGAAATAATTTGTGAAGTAAATGATTAGGTCTAAGGAAAGAAGGGGCAAAAATAAAGTAATCATAGATTTTGTGCAACTGCTGTGATTGCGTAATGCTTGGCAGCTAGAGCCATCAGAAGCAAGCTATCTCTCTCATCTTTAGGTGTCTTCTGGGAGATGGACATTATCCTGGACCTAATTTTTTAAGGATTCCTAGGGGAGTTCATAAGATGAAGAAATAGAATGTTTTGGAGCCGGAAAATGCAGAGAAATCACGAAACGGGTAAGGAGAGAGAGGTTTTCAAGATAAGGATTTCTGAGTCCAGGTTGTCTTCAAGAGGCTGCCTCCTCAGGGCAAGTGGAGTCATGAGACCTCTAAACGCCTGAAGTGTTTCAGAAACACAGAAAATTCCCGGAGATAACATTACAACCCCACAGTGGGCAAGGAGAGGGCATTATGAGATTAAATACCAGCCTGACACGCCCTTGCCCACATCCTTGTGCTTCCAGGCCAGGCCTGGCAGGTGGCCAGGTCTAGTGAGATGCCTGCCCTGCCTCCTGGTCCATTTGTCTTCTTCCCTCTGTTTACGGGGCTTACCTCTCAAATGGCAGCAACACCTCTGAGGGGGCCACTTACACATCTGTGAGTCATTTCCCTCTCTTGCTTTCTGCTCAAGCTCTGTGGACCCAACTACGGCTGCGTTGGAGTAAATGACTGCTCAAAGGTCCAGAAAGCTGCGGTGGTTGCAACTGTTCTGAATTTATACTGGGAATAAAATTTTAAACCTGGAAGTGAAACAATAACTGTCTGATGGGAGATCACATAAGAGATTTCCTTCTCTCCCTCTTTTTTGGCACTAACCAAAAATCATACACAACACATATATTGTTTATACTCTCTGGATGTAACTTTACTAAAAATTATGCACAACATGAACTCCTGAGTACAAAATATTATTATCATATCAGGGAGTTCCTAGAGCCCTTCTTTCTCAAAACAGATATCCCTGCTGTATTAAAAAGGGGACCCTAATTGATCTTCTTGTATCTGAGATCTGGGCTTCCAACTCTGCTCCTTAGAAGCCCAGGTGCTTCAGTGGTACCCTGAGGGCTCCCACCTCTGCAGCTTCACTTGTTTTACATACTGGGTTTTGCATAAGATGTCATATGCTGGAGGTGTTTGAAAAGCAGGTGGTGGCATGAAGATCCTGAGATGGCTGGTCTGTAGGATTTGCTTTGAATTGCTTCCCCTGCTATGGTAGCTATTTGACAGATTCTTCATTTTCTGACCTGGTTTTCTTTGGGACTACCAGCAAAATGCACCAATAAGCAGCTCACTGGTATTTGGGATGTAGCAGCAGCTCCCATCCATTCAGGACTGGAAGCTGAGTGACATATTACAGTGAGAACCATGCTGTCCTGCCAGCCTGAGGAGGTTCCTAGAGAGAATGCACGTTGCTATAAGGTTTATAAAAGAATAAAGGTATGTGAGGGCAGCAAGAATGCCAGGGTGGAAGTGTCCTCTCCCATGGTTCAATATCCATCTTCCTAGTTTCACAGGCCATCTATAAGGCAATAACCTCCATACTACACTCTCCAGTCCCAGCCCTCCATTAGTTCAAGGCTGGCTGTCTACTGTCCATTTAGCATCTCTGCTTGCACCTAATGTAGGGGCAGTTTGGCCAAAACAGAATCCTTGATTTCTCCTCCGGCATCTATTCCTTTTTGGACTTTCTCATTCAATAAAGGATTCCAGTCATTTGCCAGCTGCTGGAGCTGAGATTCTGGAAGGCCCGCTCTCTGATCAATCTCTGTTCTTCTCAACAGCAGTTCCCGAGCCTCACTGAACATGAGAGACACATGAGAGCTTTTGTGTCCCAAAGCCCTAGGTCCTGCCTCCAGAGCTATTAGAGCCATATCTCTCGGGGTGGACCCAGGCATCAGTTCACTTTAAAAGTTCTCCAAGGGCTTCTATGGTGCACCCAGACTTAAGAGCTGGTGGTTTAACACATACTCTAAATCCAATGGCTTCTTTGCAGCTTCACTACCTCCAGTTTGGTCAAAGCTACTGTCACACCTTATCTGGGTTACTACAATTCCTCTAGTCCCCTGCTTCTACTCATCCCACCCTGAACCTCCACTGTGAGCACGGTGCACATCATGCATCTCCTTTGTAAAGACCAAAGTTCTCACAGGCTGACAAGGCCCTGTGTAACTGGCCTCTGCAGCTCTCTCCACTCCCTTGCCCACATTCTCTTTGCTTGGGTCACCCTGGCCTTAGTTCTATTTCTCAAATATGCCATACTTGCTTCTGCCTCTGGGTCTTTTACCTACTCTCTCCTCTGCCTGGAAGGCTCTGCCTGCAGATCCTGCAACTTCTTGTCATTCAGGTCTGCTCAAATGGCCTGACTGAGGAGAAGCCTCCCCAGATTACCTTGATTGAATACAGTCCCCCTTTAAAGTCACCACATCACCCTAGTCACACTGTTTTACCATCTTTAAAGAACTTATGTTCTTCCAACATTACAATAATGTCATTCAATAATGTCTTTGCTGCCAGATTGCTTCACTAGAATGTGACCTTCAAGTAGAGATTTCTGTCTGTCTTGCTCTCACTGCTCAGAAAGGAACTTCTCACTGAGCAGGCACTCAATAAACATGACCATTCATTTTATTCGATCCATCAGTGTCTCCCAGAGCTCCTCTGCACTACTGCCAGAGTGATCCTTGTAAAATGACAATCTGATTTTGTCACTCTTTTGTTTAAAATCCTCAGGGGCTTTTGACCACCTGTCATCATCCAACTTCTACCCTCCTTCAACACCCACCATTACCAACCAACCCACACCATTTTCCTCCTAAGGTTCCACCATTCCCAACAATGCCTGGCTGCCTTGGAGCCACACTCCTGGCGTGCTTGTGTCTGTACAGGTCCCTCTGCCTGGAATGTCGCCCGTGTCTTCCTGCTCTATCACCCTCCACTTCCTCTGCCAACAGCCATTGCTCTGATGAGAATTGGCTGAAGCACCACTTCCTCTCCAGGCAGTCACCCCCACCTAGCTTGGCTAATCTCCTCCCTGTTCTTCCACCACAAACCATGAACCACGCTTCCTTCTGCCACAGCCTTCATCATCTGCAGCTGCCCTTGCTTCTTTTCTCCTAGAAAGAGGACACCCTAAGGGCAGAACAGCACTGGGAGCTTAATAGACAGTAAACTATATGCTGAGCAAAACAATGTCTTTTACTCCTGTGTCCCCCAATAGCAAGGCATTGTAAGATTTTCTGAATACTTGTTTTCAATATGACCAAATTGATACTTTCATACCCTTGTGTCTGGGGGCACTTTTAGGCATAACCACATGCTTTGTTTCCTGCAGCTGATGACTGCCTGGCGATCCTGTAAGCAGCACCAACCCTGGACAAAGAGGCCCCTACCTGTGATGCCAGTGTGTGTGAGCTCCCTGAGGCACGTGCACAGAAGGGGCCCTGTCTGGACCAGTCACTGACATGTAACTGAGCTAGGAAAGCCAGCTTCCCTTGGGACAGTTAACAATCTGCCACCTAAACCAGCAGGAAATGGAGCCCTTTGAGAAGAAAACTAGCTCAGGACATCATCTTTACTATATTTTTGGGGGCTCACAGAAACAAAATTTGTGTGTTATTAGCAGTGTTTTCCCTTTCCTAACTTAAACACATCCCACACATTGAAACAATTTGAGCTACAGAGGTCTTTATCAAATAACTTAATCCTCTGGCTTTTCTTATACAAGAAAATGAGTAGAAACAGGAATGGAGGGTCTAATTCTAGGGTGTAAAAACATTCAATAGCCATTTGCACAGCTTGGTACTGGTGGTTAGGTCACTGAGCAGATCACCTCTGTTTTACTCACACATATTCACCAAGAAGCACTGGCTGCTGCCCAAAACAGGCTTGTCCAGATTTTCAGGAAAAGAGAACCTTACCCACACACAGTAAAAACCATATCTGTGCAGGTTCCTAGAACTGGGTGTAGCTTTAATTTCAAGCCCACCTAGCTCCTATCCTATCTTCGCATCCTGACCAGACACCTAACATGTTTTTTGCTCCAACCTTCTCACTCCAGTCTCCAAAGTTACCTGACAGAGGACTGATTTGAACCAGAGGATAGATTCCCCTAGACAAACCCCTTCCTGCAGTAGCTCAATTAAGGTGTACATCAATGCACAGATGGTACCATTCAACTGAGACAGGCTGTAATACAGATGCTGGCCTCTTTCCCCCAGAGTCCCATGAACTCTAACATGGAGGGACCCACTTTCCCAGCCAACCCTGGCCCTTCTGTTCTCCACATTCCCGAGGTCCAGGGGGAGCATGCAGGCTTTGGCCATGTCAGGGCCAGAGGAGGAGAGTGTGGGCTGGTCAAAACAAGCCCAGACATACTCACGGGGTCCGTCAGCATGGCCCGGCAGTGGGAGGCCAGGGCCAAGAAGGCCAACAGGTTGAATACAATTCCGTTGATGATGCTGTATACATAGTCTCTGGATGGAATCAGCATGACAAAGAGGACCACAAACTCTGCATAGAGGACCAGAAACCAGGTGACGATGGCACAGGCGATGCCACAGCTGTCGCGGATAAACCACATGGTTCCCACAGGACCAGGGTAGGGAGGTGGGACACACTTCTCCGGCTGGAGGTATTCCGGCTTGCGCTCAATGTCTCGAAAGTGGTGGGTGTGGATAAGCATCATAAGCTATTCTGTCCATACTGGCATCTGAAAGAGGAAAAGAACCCAGAAACTTGATGTTGTCATTAAGGAGACTTGTCAAAATTTCCTTTCCAAAGTGAGCTAGAAGTATCTGTGTGTAAGTCTTTGTAGAAATACTGCCTAAACACCTTGCTCACTTAAAGCACTGATTGTCTTTCCTACTGCTGAGAGTTAACTTAGTCTTTCTGAAATAGGCCTGCCTTGCCCCAAACCTTCACATGACAAATAATGAAGAGGGAGCCTCCAAAGGGCAAACGTCTGGCCAGAGGTCAGCTGGAGCACAGTGGCAGATGCAGCACCTAGGGGGAGGACCAGAACCTAGTCCTCTTTGGCTATCGGGGCTCCGCTGGGCAGACAGTGCTTCAGCAGATAAGTTCAGATTTTGACATAAAAGACAGGGAAGGGGTGGGATTGGAGGAACAGCAAACGCTGGGGGAAAACTCTCCAGCAGAAACGCTGCTGCCTTTATAGCATGGAAAACCCAGGGGCCCACACTGAAGCTGTTTGGGGCAACAGGGATGAGTAGAGGAAAAGCAGTCGTTAGCTAGGGCTAGTGTCAGGGCACAACCATGAAGACATTCTAACTCACTGCACTACCAAGCTGATGATAAAGGTAAACAGAGTGGGGAACGTCAGGCTTTTTATCTGATTAACCAAAATGATGTATTTTTCCAGGACAAGAGACAGAATTTCTGAGTTTTGGTCTCCTTATATATAATGGGGCAAAGGGTAGAGAATGTTAGTGAATTCAAAGATGTGTCCCACCACCTGGCCATGGGGCTTTGTGAGCCTGTCACATTCCAGCCCTGGCCATCTCCTACCAGGGCTGCTGGTGGGGGAGTTGGTGGAGGTGCTTGTGATGAATGGAGGAAATTGGTACACCAAATTGCTCACAGACTGTACATATATTCTCTCCAGGAAAGAGAAAGAAGCATTGGGTAAATAGCCTTTCCTCCTAGTAGTTGTAACTTGAGTCTCTGAAGATAGTAATGAAAAGATTGATGTCCACACAGATTCTCAACATGTGCTACAAGGTTCAGAAAGCACAGATCCCTCTCTTCCATCTCTTTATCTTAAACTTTCTCACTCACTGCATCAGCAACCAGGTTCCTCACAAACTGTGACAGCTTGAGTTAACCACCAGATGTAGGTACCATGGAAAAGCCACCTGTAGTGGACCTGGGGCAGGCAAGTGCAACTCAAGCTTTTTGGGAACTCAAGTCATTACACAGCAGAGGAAATCCCTCAAAAGCCATACTGGCCACATGTGTGCTGAAGGGCAAGGGCAGGCTTGCAATGGTCATATTGGACTGTCCTGACCCTTTCTCCCACTTTTCCTTCTTCTTCCATTGCCTTCACCTCACAAAAAGAGCGTCTGGATTGAATATAGGACAGTCAGGAAAAGTAAGAACAAGTCCAGAAAGCTGAGATGGCAGAGCAGCAACTATTCCTCAAAATGGTGGACATTCTAGGGTCAACAGTTGCACAGACTATCAAGAACAATAAAGCCAACCCCTCCCACCCCAAAGTGGCAGAGAATTAATGGCTGAAAGGCAGGATTTGACCAAAGGAACATTCAACTCCACAAATATGGAACAATGAATCACATGTTAAGTGCCCAGTGCTGGGAATAAGAAGCTTTGACGTATATGGAATAATTATCAAGTAGATTGAAGCAGTGGTTCCTGATGGTCCATCAACCAGAATTTTCTAACAGAGCAACTCTGTGCTCTCCAGAGGAGATGAACAATTTAATGTTGACAGTGACAACCAAAAGACATTTGGACAGTGGGCCTGCCTTCTAAAGCCTGAAACATAACAGTAGGGGATCAGAGACCAGGAATGTCCAAACCTTGACCTGTACCCAGCAAATTCTAAAACCCTAAATTCCATCCAGCCAAAATCAATGCTCCCCTCCCCTACCATGTCAAGTTGATATCCCATAGTGGATCAAAAGCTGACTGAGGCCCAATCTTTGACTACCCCCAGATGCAGTCACTCTTTCAGTTTTCCTACTGCCATACAGATCTGTATGCATATCATCTCTGTTCCCATAATTACATTTAGGCTCAAACCAATAAAGTCTTAATGGCTCATGGCCACACTGTTTGATTATGAACTATCTCTGGCTGCTTTTGCACTGTAATGGCAAGAGTGGAGTAACTGGTAGAGACCACATAATCTTCCAGTCTGTCGTACTTACTCTCTCTTGTTAAGAAAGGTTTACTGACCACTGGTTCTGAACTGTGGTCACTCACCAAATGACAGATCCACCATGACTCCTTCCCCTTCAGGACAGCTCAGTGTGATGAAGATGGTTAGCTACAAATCATCCTCACCCAGACCTCCTCCTCTGTGGCAGCCCCTTGTCTTCTGCAGCTTAAGGGCCATCTTCCCCAGAGCTGTGTGTTCTACCAAACTGCACTTCAATGATGAAAAATGATGTGGTTTTCATACATGATCACTAAGAATATATTTTAGAGCAAGTGTTCTTTAGACTCTTTCAGTGATTAAGTTAGGCTCACAGTATATTCAGAGTGGCTGACTACATTCTATCCTTCAACAGTTGCTCATTCTTGGTTGGATACATGGCAATGCCTTGACCACACCAGAGTTATGTTTCATGCGCACAGTTTTGCTGAGGATTATGCTCTTCCACATAAATAGATTTCCCAGGTAACTGACTTGTTCTGAAGCAGAAACATTTTAACCATTTGGGTGGTTAAGATGGAAATCTCAAAAATAAAAATTTAAGAAGAGTGTTGTGGTTCAGTGGTAGAGCACTCGCCTAGCATGCACCAGGTGCTGGGTTCGATCCTCAGCACCACATAAAAATAAATAAATAAAATAAAGGTATTGTGTCCAAGTACAACTAAAGAAAAAAATTTAAGAGAGAGAGAAAGAGGGAGGAAGAAAGGAAGGAATTATAGTTGTTTCTATCTTACCATTTCTTCCAGAATTATTAAGAGTGATTACCAGGAACATAAATTACTGGAGTGCATCAGGCAATGATGTCCTCAGGGGCTACAGAGATTCACTAGGTCTCGGCCTCACATCAAATGGTCTGTTCAGACTGAAATTCTAGCAACTTCTTTGTATGGTTCTTTGTCTTCCTCCTTCATTACAACTATTGTCATTTCTGTGTTTACAGTTATCAACACATTCTCTGTTTACTACTTTTAATTGGCTATGAGCTGGAAAAGCTAATAAAATAAACTCCTGTTGTTGCTTTGTAAAGGAAGGTACTCATTTTAGGTACAGATTCTTCAAGGTGCACCTGCTATGCTCTACCTTCATTCAGTCCTCGAGGACTGGAAGCCCTGCCTTGTTATTAGCCCAGTTCCTGGCACATAATAGCTATTTAATACATGTGTTCATTAAATGAATGCATGAGCTCTGTGAGCCCAGGGCCATCTCCTGGAGGCCTTTTCTGCTTACTTTCAGAGCTATGGCCATATTGCAGATGGTGAAGGATATACCGAATAGTAGCATGAAGTAGGCGGACTGACTCCTCAAAAAACCAGAACGTTCCATGTTTGAATAATGTGAAACCAAGGAGTGTATGCCCAAGGGGATACACTCCCAATACCCTCATCGGTGCACAAGAAACTGTGATCTGGAAAAGGACTCAGTCAAGGGTGCACCTGGCAGAGCCAGAAGCCAAGTATGAACTGGGCCAACCCACACTTTAGAGTCTCAAAATGCCCCAACTGGTATCAAGCAGGGCATGCTGCTATAAAATAGTTACTTAACTCCAGGACTCCCCAAAGTAATGAAAGTGGCTTTCCAATAAGGACTTTTCCCTTAAATTAGCCAAGTGGACATGTAAGAAGTATGGGGGGGATCCTACCTTGAAACAAATTGTACACATTCCCTTCATCATGTCCCGAACAATAACAACAACAACAAATATAGTCCCTTTACCTATTCTATTTTGAATTAGAGAAACTCCCAATCTGGGGGTTCAGCAGCAGCTCTTTGCCAAGGATGCCTCTCTTCTGAGGAGCGGAGCAGAACTGGTTGCTCAGGTCTGTGGGGCAGACCCACGAGCTGGCTGGTGGGTCTCAGATTCCCAATGCCTCGGAGGGACAGCTTCCATCAGTCTCCCCTCCCTGCCCTCTCCATCCCATCCCCTTGCCCCATTTCCTCTCTAAAGTCTTCAACTCTGCATTTAGTTCAATTCAAAGAGGCATTCATGGTGCAAGAACTAAACGCAAGGAACTATATGCTCGGAGCTCACTTGAGGAGTGATGAGGACAATAATGTGTGTGCTGCTCTGTGCAGATCCTGCTATTTCCCTCCTCCAGCTACCACTCTAGTTAAAGACTAGTCTTGTTAGTTTTTTTCCTACTAATCTATATGTCCCATTTTGTCTAGCTCTGTAGCTTAGTATCTGGCATGAGTTTGGGCGCAAATCAATAGTTTTGAGTGAATCATATATAAATCAGACAGACATAGCCACAACAATGCTAACCCACAGGTGACTAATAGCTAAACAAAGGGGCAAATAATATCAAGACAACAAACCAAAAACCACCACCCAGAGGTGAGATTAAACACTTTTTCATGGTAAGGACCTCTGAAGGGATCTGAGCATCTTTGACAAAGGATAGGATAGCCTGGCAGAGACAGTGGTGGGGCTGGATGTCCAGGACCGCGTGCAGTCTGTGCACACACAGATTTTGCTGAAAGGACAGGGTTAGGATGGAAATGAAGTTTTAAAGGTAGGAGAAAGCTATGTGTTAGAAAGTTTTTGAATTTTGCAATGAACTGGGATTTCAACCAGGACAAGGCAAGACAGAGCAAAAGGCTAAGCCCAGAGGCCATGAGTCCAGAAAGACACTAACACAACAGAATGGAGTCTTATTTTGGTGGTATTGGGTTTTCTGTTCCTCGTAGTAGCTATCAATTTTCCAAGGAATGACTGAGAACAACGAACATTTTGTAATTTTAATTATAGCAACTTACTTTTTTTTTTTTTGGATAACTGTCTTATAGCATTAAAA